AGTCAAGTTGCATAAATGTTCTTTGGCTGCCAGTGCCAAGTAGTTTACGAATTCTGAGTTCTTCCCTTCGGATGAACCAGCACAAAATTGTACCTTCCCAATGCCCATACTGTGGCCTTTTGCATGAGAACCGCTGGTGATAGAGACGTAAAGCTGCTTGAGGCAGCACTGGTGATCAGTGGCATATTGTCGGTTTTTGCCGTGTCATTCTTGTCAGCGTTCGGTCAGTTGTACAATTTCCGTATTTCGCGAAGAGTGCTAAGATGATGGTCTGCACAGTGCTTGCACTAAGGCCATGCTGTGTTGCCACATTGTCATGTGAAGTGTCCCATTCTCGCACACTTGAAGGAGCAGTTCTCGATTAGCTGCATCTGAATCTCGTCGGCTGTCATGATAGTCTGATAGTTCTTTAGAGCGTTTTCACAATGACCGCATAGTATGCAACAGGCATGGTCGTTGGTTGCATATCTTGCAGATGCTGAGCCTACCGGCGGCTGAAAGTGAGAATGACTTCGCTAGAGTGCCGCGGAGCTGGATTTTTGTGGGCACTTTGAACAGGAGCTCTCTTTTCTGCTCTCGATCTGAAATTAAAGAAACTTCATCACGTTGCGCACCTCTTCTTGATGTGATTTTAAAGTAGCCCCATTGTTCGCCTCGGTCTCCTTCACGCGCTGCTGGTACAGAACAGTGATGTCTTCGGGTAGCGATCGCATGAGCACATGCTGAAGTATAAGCGTGTACTCGGATGCTTAAACTCCGAGGCTATCCAGGCAGCTAGTGCAAAAGTATTTCTTCGTACAATTCGTGCAGCTGTGATATGTTGGAGAAACGGTTCACAGTAGCTATGGCAAGCAAGCTGTCGATGTGTTCGTCCACGAGGGCTAGCTGTATGATGGCCCAACCTCTCTTGAAGCACCTTGACCGCTACCGCACAGTTCGCTTGCTCTAGTCGAACACCATCGATCGCACGTTTTGCTGGTCGAGTTATCTACGACCTCAAATAACCGAACTTCTCTATGTCCGAAAGCTCATGATTGTTGTAGATCGTGACCTCGAAATGCTCCTAGAAGCCCTGCCACTCGCGAAGTTTCCCAGAAAAAACGGGTACCTGTAACTTCGGTAGAGCAACTCCCAGCGCCGATCAGGACTCTTTGGGGCTCAGTTACGGTAGCGAAGACAGGTGCACTGCTGTCAGCGGGCCTTGAAGCTAAGTTGAGAAGGTTGAGGACACGGCTCATAATGTTGCAAATCTTGTCGTGATATCCGAGAGATGCCATGAATTCATCGTCTTGCTCAGTGTCATTGGTTATGAGGTCAGCAATTTTTTTGTTGATATCTGCAAGGGTCATGCCTTTGTCCTGGAGGTCATCCAAGATGACTTGCAGATCGGCCGGAGGAGAATACTCTACTTGCGGAACTTCAGTGGTGGAGGCAATGAGCCTTGCAGCAGCACTTCGAATCACTCTTTTGTTGCAGCGCAGGCGGTCCATCTTTGGTGCAGGACCTCAGTCTTCTCCCTAGTTTCATGGCACCAAACTATGTAGAAGAGAGAGACTGACATGCGTTCTGTAACGGTTTATTCATAGAACGCAACTACTTTTTTCTTCTGCTCTAGCCGCTCTATTCTAAACACATGTCGCATGTGCACTGCGCTGCATTGTCCTATTCAGTGTTTATCAACCTGGAACTACATGACAGCTCTTGAAGAAGAACAACAGTCCAACATCATGGGTCGTCGATACTCCACGAAAACAACTCGTTCAGAACACACACCCTTTTATTCTGGTCCCAGCAGCTAAGGAAGAACATGGAGACATGAAAGTTAGCGAATAAGTGGAATCAAGCCCTCACAAGAGCAAGAAACACCAGGAGCGATGTCTACATCAAGAGATGAAGATTCTAGCGTCAATCCCCACTTCAGTGAAAAAAAGAGCGTCTTTTTTTTTTTTAATCTACTGCAGGCTTTTCACGGCCCATGCAGGAGTGGGGACAAGAAACTACATACTAAACATCGAAAAAAAATACACGAAACAAGAAGAAAGAAGATACAATGTCAACAGCTCAATTTTCAATATGAACACACTGAAATAAGTTCATAAATGATTTAATGGTGTTACGGCACACAATATTACTATCTAGTCTGTTCCAGTGGTGGATAGCTGAAAGAAAAAGGGAATGTTTGTGAGCATTAACACGACTGAGAGATGTTCAACGCATTGTGAAGCCCGTCAGGTATTGGAAATGACTGATTCTTCCACTTGGGGAAAGAGCCACCTGGAATTAAACGGTCTGGGAGCCTCAATAAAGAGACGTGGAGCACTTGCATCGGGCGACACAACACACCTGGAGTGTTGTTACTCCGAGTCTCTGTCTCAGTTTTTTGTGCAAACCAATTACCACACAGGCTACGACCCCAGCGAACACTCGTACAACAACAATAGCCCTCGTATGCTTGTTCAGCTCTGTTCACTGGTGAAAAGCGGGTCATCGCAGCCCATTTAGACTTTCCCGTGGTAACAGCTTGGCCTGCCCTGTGCACCGATGAACTCTTCGACAATGTTGAGTCCATGGATACCTAGAACATCGACCTCATCGACGACCAAACCATAGGTGCTCTCCCTCAATGTGAAACGCGCCGTTTTGAATGAAGTTCGTCAGAAAATGCTGCTTTTGGTTGACAACTGCAGTGCGCACCATCTCTAAGCGCTGTTGAAAGTAGGCTCGGTGGCTGCACCATAATGATAACCAGTAATTAACCAGAATTAGGTCAAGGACCGAATTCTGGTCTGCAGTATGTTATAAATAAATGAAAAAATCCTTTCGTCTTGGGCACACACGAGATCGTTCTCGTAATCACTCAGATCATTTTGCTATCTCTTGGCGATTTCTGCCTGACCCGCAATTCAACGAGCCTGCTACTATGCAGTGCACGCGACACAGAATTCTCCTCATCTGCATTTGGCCTCCCAGTGTAGCAGCCTTTTGAACATCCGCCCCTCGGTCCTGCTTGAGAGGTGCCATCATCATCAACACTCATCGTTCCGTCACCTATAGAAGAATGCCACCCACGCTCAACACTTCGTGAGCTCAGTGACTGCGCCAAAACGATGACCACTAATCCTTTTGTCTTCGCCACACAGCTAAGTCTGTATCAATATTCCCCGTTCTCTAAACGAACGAGCAATTACTTTTAGGGGCAAAGCTCCTGATTTGATTGATTGATTTGTGGGGTTTAACGTCCCAAAACCACCATATGATTATGAGAGACGCCGTAGTGGAGGGCTCCGGAAATTTTGACCACCTGGGGTTCTTTAACGTGCACCCAAATCTGAGTACACGGGCCTACAACATTTCCGCCTCCATCGGAAATGCAGCCGCCACAGGGCAAAGCTCCTCAAAGCGCCACCTGATTGTCCTTTGTAGTAACCACTGCGGTGCCACATACCCACCCCTCGTTGATTCTTGAACTGGCCATAGAGGACAGTACATTTACTATACGCTGATAATTGCAAATAATACAACACTAGAGGGCGTTACTTGTAGAAAAGAAAGATTGGTGTCACACATACGAAAGTAGAGAGAGACGATCACGCGACTACGATCGCGCGTTCTTTGGCAGCGGCATACGGCAGGAGGCGCTCTATAGTACAATAAGAGCACTGTTTTGGCGAGAGCGCGCATTCAGAGGCCTGGCGACAGAGGATGGACAAGGCTGCTGAGCGGCGGTGGCTCGAGAAAGGGACCCCCACGTGTGTGGGCGCAAGACAGAAGCATGTTGCAAAGCTGTGCGGCGGCACCGCGAGAATCCTGCAGTACGACAACGGGAGGCCGAAGCAGCGTGGCAGCAGCGTGCGAACCCAGCTACGCCCCATTCTCCGTCATGCACCCCGTGGATAGGCTGTGATTTTTTTAGTTCAGCTATCGGGCCCACGGTGTTATGTCGCTATTGCTGTTGAAGTTGCTCATGCAATCCCATGTTTGATGTTACTTGCTGGAGATATCGAATCTAACTTTGTTCCTGATACATCTGCCATACTGTCTGAATTGGGAAAATTAACTACTGGGCAGTCTCAAATAATCTTGGAGGTTGAGAACCTCGAAGACCAGCTATTATCTACCGAACAAATGCTATGTATCGTAAGCCAACACCTAACTGACTTGGAAAATCGTTACCAAAACCTCCTATCAATCAGGACCAACATTGATAGCTTGAGGGATGACTTTACGCAAACAGCCGGCTTAGTTGGCAATATTGAAATGGAAGTTTTTGGAATAGGCTGCCAGTCAATGCTGTGAATTGTTCGACGCTGGAATCTTTTGTCAACTGTCTAGAAGAGATTGATTTTTCTAAAAATGTATACATGTGAACCATGAAGTATCCTATGTGTATCAATACTTTCTTTTCTTTTTGTGGAGCGTTATTATGCCTCATGTTACCTTTATGTATCCACTCCTGCATGGGCCCGACTAGGGCCTGCAGTATGTACAAATAAAACAAATAAATAAATAAAATTGAAGCCCGCCTGGATGAAGCGCAAAATGGCTCGCGCTGAAACAACCCAAATTAATTTTTTTTTATTTCTGAAACGAGCTCAAAAGAAAGTTTCACTCAGTCAAAGCAACTAATTATTGACATCTCTCGCAATCATATAGACGCTAATATAGATACTAAGGTAATTGACTGTGCACACCATTAGGTAAACTCAGCTAAAACAAACTTCGACCTATTATAGTTAAGTTTACCTTTCACAAAACTAAATCCGCAATCCTTTCCTGTAGTGGTAAATTCAAGGGAACAGAATACAGCATGAGACAGAATTTTTCTACTGCAGCCCGTACTGCACAAAAACACCTTCTTCAATTCTCTAAATTTATTAGCCTTTCCGACTAGCCACTCAAGACGGTTATTCGACGTTAAATAGTTTCTTTTCGTGTTTTATTGAATGTATACTTAAAAAAAAAGATAGTTGACACAGGCAAAGGAAAATGAAGGAACTTACGATAATCCTGGTCTGCTGGGTCAAGGAGAAAAAAAATTGAGACAAAAGTTTAGGAGTGATATTGGCAACAAGGCAGTGCGAGAAGACAGCTATGCAAAGGGCATACACAAGAGCGCTAACTCACAACTGATTATATTTGCAACTAGTGCTTAAAATTTATACCACACACATGCAAAAAAATAATGAAAAACTGTCTACTATATCGTGCACTTGTGCATACATTTCAACCACCACCAACTGATCGAACTATAGTACATATCTAGAAACTGCTCCTCTTTCTCGGTCAGCGCTAGTGATGCCTTGCTTACACTGTCTTCTTGAGCTGTTTTTTCATTAAAATGTTACCAAACAAACAATCCAATCGACAAGCATTAGTGAAAAGCTTTTTTTTTAAAGTCACCTTCAGACAAATAAAATTGTTTCTGAAAGACCTCAAATGTGTCGTCCTTAAAAAATTGAAGCGCAGTGAAATATTAGGTGGTGACCTTGGGAAGAAAAAGCTACGCATGTTTGCGGACAACAAAGCAATACAGCATAGCATCAAAACAAGCGTAATTATTGCTAGAGATTCACGGCAGTGTGATGAAAAGTCAGGTGTTGGTATATTTAGCCCGAACTTGGAATCGTCCTATTCCTTTCGACTGCCTAATTTCACACCTGTTTTCGTGGCTGAGTTCCTGGCAATGATACTCGCCTTACAAAAGTTAAACATGCAAATTACATTGGCTGTTATAATTACGGATTCTTTGTCTCTTTGCACTGTACTTTCTGTTAACGCTGACTCACACCGAATAAAAGTGTTTAGGGCATTAATACCCCTGCTTTGAGAAAAGTTATAATGTAGTTTGGATGCCTGGTCGAAAATGGCTGCCCTCAAAATGAAATGGCCAGTTCTTCAGCGAAGTCATCAATAAGTGGGCCAATTTTACTGTGTTCTCCACCATTCACTTACGTATGTGATGGCTGCACGTTTTCACAGGCGTAACATTATGGAAAGCTTTGCAGGAACAGCACTGAAAAATTCCACAGAAGATCAGTACTTATTATATCCCTGGCATCCATCACGTAAACGAGAAGTGACAATTACGAGGCTGTGCTGTCGGGTGCTAAAACTAAATTTCTACTAACACATGTCTGACCTGGCTCTTTCTCCAATGTGCACTTTCTGTGGCAAGCCAGAAACTACACATCATTTTTTTAAGACCTGTAAACGATTTACTACAGCTCAATAATCCAAGTTAGAAAGTCCTTCATATGCAATTGGAAGAAATTTATTTCTGCCCGTGACTCTGTCTTCTGGAGCTTCTATTTCTGGGTTTGCCAGTGCGAAAGTTTGCGTGTCTAAATAGGACCAAAAGACTAACAAACTAATCTATCTTATGATCCTTCTGTGTCGACACATCTATAATTTTATGTTATTTATTAATTTTTTTAATTTAGCATGTTGATTTATTTATTATCTATTGCTAAATAAAAAAGCTTTATATTTTTTATATTTCAGTGAGCGTCAAAGTGTAATTCTAAAATATGTAATATTTTTATTCTATAACCTTCATTACTCTAAAGCTCTATAAGAATTAAAAGACCACTCAATTCATGGCCAGTCCCCCACAGTAAGTATGAGCCACAAGATAGAGAAACAGAGAGGAAAGGCAGGGAGGCTAACCAAGCTCGTCTCAGAGAACAAGAGAAGGTGAACAAGAACAATACAGCATCGTGCCGCACAGAAATGGCCGAATGGAGGCAGTGTCACTTTAGTTTGCAAATGTGCTTTGACCAGACTTCAATAAAATTTGCAGCTATGTGAGCAAACGACTAGGGCATTCGCTAGAGCATCCAGTAATCCAATTAAATTAGAGTATGCAGTTGGCAGTTGTAATGGTGCCCAACAACACAGATTTATCTTACTAATGTGTACATCACTGAAATAATTTTCACTGTACTATGGCATTTATGTAGCCTGGCAGAGTACAAGTTTTAAAGTACCACTACTATGTCATGCAATCTTTAATCTATAGTAACGAACCACCAACTGCCAGTGCTTATAAGTTATAAACCATGCCTCTTTTTTTTTTCGCTATTGTTACAACAGTGAAAGCTGTTATAGGATCACAACAAAGGTCATTTTCAACACCCTAGCTGCCTGTTGCAACCGCCGTTGTCTGTAACCGCTGTTGAGCGAAATAGGAAAATCAACTAACAAAATAAAAAAAAAACAGCACCAAATTGAAATTCCAACCCAAGCCCCCTGTGCGCCAGTCCCCTATTCTACAACTGAGCCATGCCAGTACTTGAATTTCCTCTGCAAGCTGACTGTGGGCACACCTTATGTTGGGAAAAGAATCTCATTAAGGTGAGTAATAAAGCTTTTTAGAACAGAAAAAAAAAACTCCCAGGTTTCACAGAATACTAATTGTGTAATGAGTAGGTCCTCAAATGCACAAATTCATTACAAAAGAATCAGGCAGAATCCTTCATCGTCATCAGTCACAGCATGAAAATATTGCAAAAAATTACTTGATCTCACCAAGAAAGCTTGATCTGAACCCTCTCCCCTCCCTGCGCTGTTGACGCATCGTCACCGAAGGTGGAAACACCACCGCTGGCGATTTCGGTATCGATGCACAGCTCTAGCTCACATGCTACAAACAGTAAGCGCGCGAGCAGTTCGTGTTCGAACTGGATGGTTTACTGCACACACATGCACTCCACGCGCATGTGCCACAGCTTGACTAGGTCCACAGACGGCTGCAACGGCAGCACCGCTTTTCACTGTGCTGCTCCTTTTACGTTCATGGCATAGGCAGCATAGAAAAGATCGGGACTACATAATAATATACATACTCTAATTTTGGGGACTGGCAAACATGACAGCATCGGACTACGCGAACAAATTCAGCAAAGTGATCGACTCTATATTCCATAATCCAGCTTCAAGGCTCTTCCAGCAGGCTGTGCTACAAGACGGTTTTTGATAATTTCAAGCATGATTTAAAAATATCAATCCTAGTCACAATGCAAGGTTAACGCTGGAATATTTCGCTATATTTCAAGCTCTTTTCATTTATACTGTGATCTAATCGCACATTCTGGCCAGTTGTTGGTCCCTTTAAGTAATGACACTTCGCACAAAGCTCGCATGCACGAAGCTAGCCCAAGTGTCCCTGGAGACTCTGCTAGTTCTGAATATGGTCAACAAGGCACTACCCTCCGACAAGCGTCAAGCCCTAGCCAGCATCCTCAGAGGGCATACTTCATTGTTCGATTTCGCCTAGGGCCCTACCAAAATTCGTGTTCCCAGCACACGGGCTCCCCAAAGGAACAACACGGGGTCCCCGCATCCCATAAGGCAGAAGCCATACTGTGTGTCCGCATCGGAGCGCAAGGTAATCGCTGAACAGGTAGAAGACATGCTGGCTAAGGGTTCTTCTAGCCCGTGGACTGTGCTGGTTATCCTCGTATAAAAAAAAAAGAGGGGTCCTGAAGGTCATGCATTAAATACAGACCCCTGAATTCGGTGACAGAAACGATGTATCCACTTCCCATATAGACTATGTTATCGACTATCTTCATTCAGCATCCTACTTCTCGTCTGTGGACCTGCAGTCGTGCTATAGGCAGATAGATACACAAGCATTTTGTTCACAAAAAAAAAAATTGTTTCTGTCACACAAAAACAGCTTGTTTGAATTCAATGTCATGCTGTTTGGTTTGTGCAACACCCCTGCAATATTTGAAAGGTTTATAGGCACAATAATGTGCCGTCTAGGATAAGAAGCTTGTTTATGTGACTTTGACGACATTGTCATATTTGGTCACACTTTTTCTAAACACAATCATTGGCTTAAGGTTGTTTTGACAAGCCTTGAACAAGCTGCCCCTACCTTAAACTCCAAGAAACGTCACTTTAGCCAACGACACTCACTTCTACTTGGACATCTTGTGAACAAACATTGTGTGCATCCAGACCCTCAGAAGACTGCTGCAGTTAGCAGTTTTAAACAACCACAGTCATAATACGAACTAAGAACTTTCTTGGATCTCCGTCTGCTCATACTTTTGACAGTTTGTGCCCAAGTTTGCTGATACTGCCTACCAATTGGCTTCATTGCTGTACAAGAATAAAGAGTTCACCTTGACAGCGAAATTTGATTCCTCGTTTTGTGAATTTAGGTTCTTTCTGTCATCTGGACCCACACTGTGCCATTTTCACCCTTATGCTACAGCAGAGATGCACATTGATGCGATCGAGTGGCATCGATCTCAGTGCAGTCTTTATCCAGCGCTTCGATAACCCCAAGCATGCCATCACCTACATTAGTCGTTTGTTGAGCAAGGCCGAGAAGAATTGCACCGTCACTGAACAACATTGCTCGGCTGTAGCTCTTGCTCTCTATAAGTTCTGTCCCTATCTATACGGGTGGTACTTGAGTTGTTTGGTCTCCATGACCCCTCTAGCTGCTTCGCAAATTGGCCGCTACGTTTGCAGTACAATATGTTACAAGAATGGCCGTCATCATGCAGATGCTGACAGTCTCTCGAGGCTCCCGCTACCAACAACTGCATGTAACGGCAACAATTATTTTTGATGATTTTCTATCTGCCATCAGCAATACCACTTTTGCTGACTTCGCCACCTTCCAGAAGCAAAAAAAAAAAACAATGACCACAACTTGGATTATCTCTTCAACTCAGCTACTCAGCCGACAGGTAGCCATGGATTTTGGAAAGCAAGCCATCACTCAAGGTGGCTTGCATTACAAAAAAAAAAAATACGCAGCTAATGATGCCCGCCTTCATTTGGCGGTCTCTAGAAATTTTAGAACACACGTAGTTCATGCTATGCATGATGACGCCTCTGCGGGGCACCTAGGGTTCACCCAAACGTACCACCGCCTATACGCTCGCTTCTACTGGCCTAGTGTGCAAGGCAATACATGCGATCAGCTGGTATAAATGCCAGCAATTCAAGGGACCAAGTACTGCTTCAGTCGGTCTCCTCCACCCTGCGA